TCCTGCTCACTTCACTCCACTCCTCCTCTAACTTTTCCAGCCAAACTCTTATCCACAGTAACATGGGATATTCTGCAAGGGAAATACATTGAAACATGCTCAAAAGAGAGAGCAATCTGAGCTACCAGTTGACCATGGCATCAGAGCAGGGGCTAGAATGACTGGTTAAGCCAGAAAGAAGATAAGAGTGTTTTCTGATCACTGCTTTCTGCCATTGCAGAGATGAGGAATACATAATTGTGCTAATTTTTCAGGGCAGTCTCTACAACAAAAGTGGATATCATTGGTGAGCAGCTGGTAAGGAAGGCCATGTTTGACACAGATGAGTTGTTCTCATTTTCATTTTCCACTTCACATGAATTAAATGCTCAAAAACTGAAACAGAGACTCAGGAGATGAGGAATATTTCACAGTGAATACACTGTGGAGTCTTCTACCTCGGCTTCCTAAGTTCCTATGCTGCTACTGGAGGAGAAGGCCACATATGTCTGTGAAAATCTACAAGCTGAGCACACCAAAGCGGTTGAAAATGTTTGTTATCCAACATAAATACTCAGTGGAGAACAATCACAGAAAGGACTGTGGATGCTTTAGAGTCTGGAGCACTGAACAAGTCTCTCCTATCTCCAGGTAGTAAAATTCACRCTGGCTAAAAATAGACAGCCTGTTGAAAGTAACACCTAGTGCTGATTTATTTATTTGGAGTGGTGGTGAAAGATTAAAAAGGGCTGGAACACTGGCTTCCTTGGCATCATTTGTTGCCAATGCTCCCTCTTCACTTAGAGTGAGCCAATACTTTGCTCCATCCTCCTCCTCCTAGCAGTAGAGGATCCATAAAAAGACTAGTTGTCCTTTATCTCTCTTTCTCTCCCTCCCTCCCTCTCTCTCTCTCTCTTACTCCTCATTAGTTTTCACTTTCTGAATGCCACACCACTAAAGAGATCATGATTTAGCTTTCCATCCTTTTCCTGCCTGATATTTTGTGTTTAGGCCCTCTGGACCAATTTAGACACAAAATTCCAAACTAATTCAAAATTTAAAAGTATGTTTTACAAGTAAAATGCCGCTGAAGTATCAAAAACAGCTATCTGGAACTTAACTGTAGATGCCAAAACACAGCTGACTGATGAAGTCTTGAGTTAATTATTTCCCCCTTCTCAAACTATTTTGAAGAATGGCCAGTAGYGGCCAACTATCTACCCTCAAATTTGGTCGTACCTAGGCCCATCCCATGGAAGCCCCGTTCAGCCATCAAACACTTTATTTCCATTACCAACTTTGACATTTCTTAAAGCAGAGAGAAGACAAATTTGATGAGTCATATGAGAAAAAGCTGATGACTGGGATCAAGCCACAAGCTTCCTGAGACTGGGGCATTTGGGCTCAGGTACCAAAGTCCAGTGAAATAACCCGGGGAACCTTTAGTGAAAGCAAAAATAACCTTCAATATATCACTAGATAAAGGCCTCTCAAGACAGCAATAAAACAYTTTTCCTCCTCACCTCTCCAACCCCTCTGCTCTTCTCAACCTGAAAGTTTCACTTTTAATGGTGCCAGGCTGGACATTCAGGAGACTTTTGGGAGACATCTCCTCTAATCAGGAGACCGTCCCTGTCACGACTTGCAGCTCTGCATGGCCAGTCTCACACTGCATCTTTGGCACCGGCTCAGTTCACCAGCCCAAGGTCTCTGTTCACGAACGTCCAGTGCTAGGCAATAAAAGTTCTGTTGCAGCTTGGGAACAGCACATTCCCTGACCTCGCTTTAGTCCATAAACTGTTTACTGCTTACTTTCCTATCTATATAGTCTAATGATGAGAACTGTGCAAAATAATTGCCRTAAACCTTGAATCCATGTGAGGCATGTCTCGGAGCGTAGCCACTGGGTAAATATTACAAAAAGCAGTAAACTATTTTCCTTCAACTCTATGTCCATTTTGCGTTTCTACAATTGAAATTTCCTGGCAAGACGTCAGGACAATTGTCAAGGAAAGATAACTTTCAAGTTCTGGTTATAAAATTGCCATAAACCACATTTTAGATTTACGTGGGAATGTTTGGGGGTTTTACAACCAGGGAAATAAACCAATGCAATCTTAAGAGCTCTCTGAACAACCTGGTCAAGTGCAACAAGGACACATGGCTTGAAGAGCATATACCAAGGCCCCCTGCCAAAATGAGACATTTTCAAAGAATTAATACATTCAGTGAAACCAATCTGCTTATGCATGCAGAGCCACAAGGAGAAAAGAGGCTGAATTCATTAGATGAGTTGCTTGCTGCACAGTTTTGCACATTCCTATTAAGGCAAGAGCCGGGTGGCTCTGCAATACAACCCCAGTGTCACCTCATGCTTACAAAGGTTCAGTAAAGCTGTTTAGGACAACAGAAATTTCACATACTTCCTTCTTCACCATCCCCCTCAGCACATACAGAGGAATAAGGTCTCCAGGTGACATCTCCCTAAAGAACAGGACTTTTGGAAGGAGACCTGAGAGCAGTTCTGTGTGGATTATTCAGGACTTGTTGTGGGCTTAATGTATAAGGGTTCATACACATCTGAGAGGTTCAAGTTTGCTGAGAGACTTTATTGCTGAAAAAAAGGGGAAAAAAAAAAAAATCAATGCTGTCACACTCGAGCCTATTTTGCAGAGCACCTACAGGTGCCCTCTCAGGTATTTCCTTGAACGTGTGCTTAGKGCCAGCTGTGACAAATGACCAAACACAAAAAACACCAGGTGCCAAATCACGGTCCCCGAACAGCAGCTTCTAGAGACTGCACTAAGCTTCACAAAAGCAATTTGACTGTCCTGTAATAAGCACCTCTACTGCCCCACTCCTGGGGTTTGTATAGGAAGTTAATGAATACAGTTTTAACTTTGTAAACTTGAGAAAAGCAATACAAAAGCAGGAAAAAGAACCGCACAGGGAAGGGCAGGCCCAGCCACAGCAGCAAAGCTCCCGCTCGGCAGCTACCAAGCGAGCTGCATGAACACGCAGGCCGAAGTGTGCRCCCAGGACAGCGGGCTGCTGGTGGGAGCGAGCGGCGGCGCTCGGGGCGCCTGGGCTGCTGCAGGCGGCAGCGCCGGGACTCGCGGGAGCGGAGCCCGGGCGGCCGCAGGGAAACTCCGGCTCGCTTCTGGAAGCCGCACGGGCGCTGCTCGGCCTGGGCTTATTCCCTCCTTGCCTCCGCTTTCCTCAAGCAGCTTCTGTTCTTTATTTCCTTATAACAACTGCCCTCCCCAGAATAAAGCAAACAGCCTATATGAGACATGTGAAAACAAACAAAAATGGATTTTACACTCAGTGAAGAAATAGAGTTCACTACCCTAATTAGATCATTCCCAAACCCTTTTGCTGTAAAATTTTAACTTGGATTAGCCTTCTTTATAACACATGATCTTTGAACAGTCTTGAGAGTTTGATGCAGAGGATTTTAGAAAATAACAAAGGAYTTTAGCTATATTAAATACACTAATAGATATTTATATTTGCTCTGGTCCACTTGCACGTGTGTAACAGAAAGTATGATCATTTATTTACTGGCTGACAGCTTGCACAGAACTTTATGACTTTGACAGCTAATCGCTGCAGGTAAAGATATTAACATCTAAAATGATACCAAGGGCAAAAATGTCTAATGGAATAAAAACTGCTCTACTGAAAGCAACAAAGGAAGGCAATGCTAAGATCCCCAAAGCAATCTAATACCTTGCACCACTGCAAAGAGTCTGGCCCCATGCTCTTTACACCCTTCCTTCAGCCACACACCTTGATGAGATCCCTGAACAGGCCCAGCTCTCTCAGCCTCTCCCCATAGGAAAGAGGCTCCAGGTCSCCAACCATCCCTGTAGCCCTAGGATGGCGTTTCCTGGATAGCTCCACATCTCCCTTGTCCCCAACCATCCCTGCAGCCCTAGACTGGACTTTCCCAGCTAGCTCCACATCTCCCTCATGCTGGGGAGCTGGACACAGTCCTCACCGGGGCTGGTCGGGCGGATGAGACCCCTTCCCCTGCTGGTAGTGCTCTCATATTCACAGCTGTGATTTTATRCTGTTGAAGGTGCTAATGAAGGGTCACGTTTCTGATGCCCATTTCTTCAACAGAAGAACTTGCTCTGTGTTCTTCTGCTTAGACACCTGCACTGCTTGGTGTGCAAACAGAMAGGATATGGGGACAGCTCTCCCAAGAAATAGGATTTAATCAGGAGTCAGCTAACATCTCTAAGGTTAGCAAGATAAGTAAGTATTACTGACCCACTTAGTTTGCACTTTTTTCATTGTTTCTGCCCCTCATTCAGTTGCTTTCTGAGTAGGCAACTCTGTGCAGTTTATTTGGTGAGTTTTACTAATGCTTTTTTTCCCATCATTTCTGCAGCAAATTCTCCAGCTCCCCTCTACCTTCTTGTTGCATTTTTAATGGTGAAGACTCTGCTCTACCTGCCTGTCTGTGCAAGGATGTGTGTGTACATGTTTATTCAGCTACCTTCTCCGCTACCACTAGCACAGAAGCACCCTTGTCACTGCAACATGATCTGATTGCCCGTGGCCCTTCTCCCTTCTTCTACTCTGCATTCAGATGGGATCACAGTAAAACCTTTGTGCCTGCTGACCCTAATTGCAATGCAAAAACCAGAGAGGATAGGGTGAAGCACAACGGTGCAGTCCTGACCCACAGATGCTGCCATGCACAGAGAGGTAGCCAATACAGCACCTGCTGCGGTCACCTCACGTTCTCCTTCTCCCAGTTTTAAAACCAAGGATGCCAGTTAAACCATTACTCAGATGTACACAGTGGAGTTCAACTGGAAAACCAGATGCAAATTCATTTCTGCTTAACCCCATGATTTCTTCTGTATAGACACAGAGAAGTGACAAACAGCGCAAGGGAGCCGCTGCACCTTGGGAGCACCTCCGGAGAGCCTCAGCGACCTGGCTTCCCAAACGGGGCGCGAGGCGCTGCTGCTGCAGAGGCCTCCTGCTCCACGGGGCGCCCTTACCTCAGCCCTCCGTTGGCTTCCTCGTCCGACGAGGAGGCGCCGTTGCAGACATTCCCGAAGGAGTGGCTCGGCTTCAGCGTGGCTTCCCCGCAGTCCGGCGCCGGCTCTCGTTTCTTCCTCTTGCCGAAGAGCTTCTTGAAAGGCTGGAACTTGCCGGCTTTCTTCTTGTCTGCGGATGGCGAGAGGAGCAGAGGCTGAGGGACGTGGCGCCTTGGCGGGCGGGCGCGTGCCGAGCCGAGCGAGGGCAAAGAGCGGGCGGCAGCGCCCCGGAGCCGCCGGCGCCCCGGAGCCTCGCGCGGCCGCGCTCAGCCCTGCAGCGCTCGGGAGGGGAAGGATGGGCGCCCCGCACACGGCCTGGCACCGACACGAGCGGGCTCGAGCCCGGCCTCTGCGCCGCGCTCCTGTCGGGTGCTTTGCACACACAGACAAGCCCTGGTCTTGTCAAGCTCTGGTCACCCCCGGGCAGCAGGTGCCGCATCCTCTGCCCTGAATCCAAAGGATCCCAAATAACCTGCTGTATTTTCAGTTACGTAGCCTCAGACATGGACAAGTCAATTTGCAAACGGACAGAGGGAATAGGATAAAGTTCTGTGTGTTTGCTGGGGTGTTATTTCAATAAATATCCAGCTTTATATCAACAGATCAATACAATTGCTCTTTTTTTTATTATTTTTTTTTCCCTCCGAGTTATTCAGGGCAAGATTTGACCCACCATTTCTTTCTTGTGTTATTTAAGTTTCAAAAGCTTGGCTGAAAAACACAGCAAAAAGACAAAACTGACAGAGACAGGAACAAGGAACAAAAAAGTAAACCAGAGAAAAAGCAACGTTTCTCACCTCAGACCGACGAAACAAAAGGCAGCTTCATATTATTTTTCCCCACAGTACGTATTCAAAAGAAACACCAACAGTTATTGTTAACCACAGCCAAAAAGAGATTAATTTCTCTGGGCTGGAATGCACCAAAGACTTCCTAAATCATCCCAGCTATCAAAGAGCTTCATTTCTTCTCTGTCTTTAATTAATTTTGCATTGGATTTACTTCAGACGGCCTATTTTCTAAAAAAACTTGTAGACTCCTATCACACTCCAGTTTGAAAAGCATCATCCTGCATTGGTGACAAATATTTTCACAGGCTAATTAAAGCCTGCATGCACTTCTCTGTGTGCATATACCTGCCCTTTGCACACTAGACTCTTCCTACGAGCTATTGCAGATCAAAAGCAGCCCTGGGCTGCAAGGTGCACGCGTGGAAACCCTTGGCACAGCAGCAGCAGCCGTGCCCTGCAGGACTCTACAGACCTCACCGTGTTTTACGCTCCACTCTGCTACACCTGCACCCGGTGAAGCCGCATCCAGCTGCCCCCCCAGCGCCCTGAGATACCTGGAGCATAACTCAGGGCTGATGGAGAAAGAGGGAACGTGCCCGAGCACGTGGCAGTCTGGCTGTTCCCAAGGTGGAGCAGGCTCCAGCTGGCCTGGGCTGAGCCCAAGGGTGGCTTCTCAAAGCCACAGCTTCTGCAAGAGCAAGAAACCTGCGACTGACCCCTTGGGATTCAATCTGCACCTGGTTATGAAGTGGAAAACCTAGACTAACCTAACGAAGTCTAAAATGCAATAGGCACTGGCATTGCCTTTTCTCTACAGGTCTCAAAGAATTTTGCCAAGGGAGCTTTCTCCTCCTTGGGCAGTCAGGACGCAAGGGATCCGCACAACTTCTTTCAGGCTACAAGGCACCCCAGCAGTGGCTCTAAGGCAGAAAGCAGAACTGCTGAGTTATGAACCCCAAATCCAATCCCTGGCATTAGAATTTTCTGATCCCAAATCCGTGTGCCACAGTGAACACGTAGGGGAATAAACAATCCCTGAAGCAGCACCATTTCACCTGTATGAAAGCACTGCAGAAGGGGAGTCAGAAGTCTCATTTCCCCCGTCCCAAGCTCCACTTTCCAAACTGCTGACCTGCTTGCAACGTCTCCAGCCAAACCAATTACTTGTTGCTCAATTCATAATTTGACAAATATATCTTGAAAATATATATATATATAAATATATATAAAACAATACAGACAGGCAGGCATAGAGAGAGATCATTACTCTAGCCCATGGCCACTCCAACTTTTCAAACACTTGTGAGACTGTCAAGAAAAATGATCAAACCAAGTGGCTGAGCACACAGGAGAGAAGCCCTGAGAACCAGGGACTGCGTGAAAAGCTCCTTTCCATGGCTTTGGCATTGCCCRTTTCCTCAGCCTGTTTTGGAAGGGAAGATTTTGGGCCATATTATTTCTCCTGGGTAATTAATTTACAGCATAAATCAATCTAACTAGAGCAGTTTTACAGAAAGGTTCTGTTGTCACTCATCCAATTTACCCTTGTTTCCTCTTCTCTTAGAGTCTGTAGATATATCTAGGCATTACCTCAGGATGTCTTGGTTTATGAACTCCAACTGTGCTCTGAAATCCAAGTGATCCACCAACTGTGACTGTCGGTTTTGAACAAACAGAGAACAAGACAGCTTTTGGGTTRAAATGGGTGAAAATCAGCAAGGTTGTCTTCAGCCAAGATCTTGTTTTTTCCATGCGACTTAACAGGTCCTGTAGCTGCTCCCTGCTCCGTATCCTGTCATCACACTTGTCACATTTCTAAATATGAACTTTTAAAATCAGGCTTCATGATTCATTTCAAAGCTGATCGTCCCCCTTCCCTGCACAGACTGTGCACACTGTTCCTGATCCTGCTGATACAAACATAAGGAGCAATCAAACCCAAGTTTCCAATGAGGGAGTGATCAGCCAGTAAGGTAAGGCCTATTTATGTAATGCTTTTCATGAGATTTTGCAGAGGAACATATGGGATACTGTAATCTTTAGGGCAAAATGCTTCCTGTAACAGTAATTGGCTACAAGGAATCAGACCATTGGCAATACAACCGAGCACACCCTGTTCAGAAGCCTTTCAAGTCTCTGATGCTAGAGCTCAAACAAGGCTCAATCCTTTTTTTTCTATTTATATTGCACAAAGTGTACAAAAAAAAAAAAAAAAAAAAAAAAAAGGATAGGGAAGGCATAAGGTGGGGGGGCACCCACTGCAATTAACTTGTGTCAAGACAACTGTTGAACTAGCCAGGAAATAAGTCTGTTTATGAGATCCATTTTCTTCTCTCCTTAATCACTCAAGCTGGAATCCTACAAATATAGCCTGGGGAGAACATGGGAATACAGCAATTATACCTTTTTCTCTTTCTGGTTTACAAGCCTCTCTCATTCAAACCACTGTAAACAGTTAACAGTAAAACAGTCAATCAGCTCTGAATCACAGAAAGCCACRAGGCGTGAAGGCAACAGACACCCCAAGTTGGCTACGCAGGCTGGAACAACGCGGCGCACACGGCAAACGCTCCCTTCTCATCTCACGCCAGCAGGGCGGCAGAGCAGATCAGAATAATCTTTAACCTGTCATACAATTTGTCAGCTGCATAAAGATGTGAAAGGCCTAATGCRGAACTATGCAGAGTGCACTGGCATCACGAAGGCAGCACATGGCCACAGATGACASAATGGTTGAGGYTGGAAGGAACCTCTAGAGATCATCTAGTCCAACCCCCCTGCTCCAGTAGGACACCTAGAGCACAGGGACACATCTGGGCAGGGTTTGAAGACCTCCAGAGAAGGAGACTCCACAACCTCCCTGGGCAGCCTGTKCCASKGCTCTGTCACCCTCACCCTCACAGTAAAGAAGTTCTTCYTCACATGGAGATGGAACCTGTTGTGTTTCAGCTTGTACCCACTGCCCTTTGTCCTATCACTGGCCACCACTGAGAAGAGCGGTCACTCCACTCACAGCAATGGAGAGGAGACCGGCAGGACGGGCAGTTCTCCTGCACTGCTTCCTTCAGCCCTCTTGCTCCCCGCTGAAGCTGAAGGCRGCTGCAATGGGCTTTGCTGCCCCTGCAGCAGATGCAGCCTTTGAGGTTCAGCTGCGAAGCTGCAGCAACCGCTCCAGGTGACCAGCTACCCTATGACAGCTTAGAGTTCAGCTACTCAGCCATCACCCAGATCCACGAGATTTCTGTTCTGTGATGCCCTTCAAAAACTGCRCAGAGTCCACAATAAACCGAACGCTACATAAAGAAAGACTTAACTTTTAAAGCAGGAAAAGATGGCTCAGATATTTATTCTCAGCATCAATAACCTCTCTCTCACACTCACACCTACACACTGTGCCCTCATGGAGCACAGAGCTTCCCCAAAGCTTCCACATGCACAGCTGGATCACCACCTGCACCATTTATTTCAGTTCACTGCCCTCTCTTCCACATATAGCTAAAGGAAAGCTGAGGCTAAGATAGGTGGAAGCAGCCCCTATGTAACAGGCAAGTGCAAATACCAAAGAGTCAGAGGGAATAGGGAATAAAGACTGACACTACAGAGACTGTCATTCCAATCCAGTAACATGACTTCCTAGCAATGAGTTCAAGTCCCAGCTGGGCAAAACATTTAGTTCTAGATGCCTCTAAATGCTCTTGAAATGGAAAGCAGGCAACACTTCCATGTTGACAGGGATGGGGTCATATAATCACAGAAATATTAAATGAAAACAAGACTGGGAACTATCAAAGAGGACAAATTGATGCAGCCACAAAAGTCTCATGAAACACTTAGGCAATWTAAGGAAAAGGAACAGGCCAAAGTCTGTCTGGTTTTCCAAGAGTATCAAGTGATCTTATAAGAGATACTMTCTCCTGCAAACTGTGGCCCATGGAGAAGATGAGGCATTCTTGGATTACCCGATACAAACTAGCAAGGCTACCTACAGTATCCATAACAAGGTAAAAACCAGCCTTACTTTCCAGAAACATCAGTTCTCCCTTGCCACCTGGGGAGTCAAGAACATTTACAGAATCATTTTATGATTTTTTTTCCTCAGAGAGACCAAGGCTTCCAAACAAGCCATATGTAGCCGAGATAGTCAGCTGTTAGAAAAAAAAATATGAATCATCATAATAAATCCTGTTAAAAGTCCAAACACCACATAAAAGTCTTCATCATACAGATCAAGGAGTCATTTCAACACTTCTATTTATAGAGCAAGGAAGTAACAGAAAAAGTAAAAGCCATTTAGTTCTTATCTTACCTCAAGGTAACTTCAAAGTACCTTCGTGTCCCC